AGAAATGGATAAAGCGTGGAAAGCCGGCTGTTGCCAATGCGTTTTACGTGTGGTTCGATAACTGGATTCGTAATTAGAAACAATTCCATGAAAGCACATTTAATATCCCAAATAGCACAGAGAATTAAAAAAAAATTCATTCGTATATTTAGTTGTATGTCATTTTGAATTTTCTAATGCAAAAGAATTCTTTTTGAATCTAAAAATTAACTAAAAATTGATGACATATGATGACTGAATTCTTTTCTAACTCTTTGTGCTATAAAATCGGGGATATAAATTCATTAGATTATTTTTATGAATTGAATAATTGGCATATATATACTTCAGTAATAAAATCCATAAAATTATATCAGTTTCACATTCTTTATAATATATATTTGTCACTATGTATCAAATTATTCTTTTATTTATCTCGTAGAATTCTCCGCGGGTATTTTGCAAGATATATTTTTCAACAATAAACGGCAACATTACATGAACTACGGCGGCATCGGACGTGTTATTGGCCCTGAGATTATCCACGACTTTGATGATGTAGGCAGTCAATATAATTTTATTTATATTTATATTAGTTTAAATACTTGACACCAAGCCACTATCGTGTCTCCTGATAAAGAAGGTAAATTCGTGGGTTGGTGAAAGCCAGAGACAAAGAAGCGTTATCTCAAGAGGGCTAAATGTGTAATCAATATGGAAATTATACCGCAGAAGAAGTCATTGAACGTACTAAGATTAAATCTTATATATCTATTTCTATATTTATCAAATTTATTACCTTGCTTGTGAAATTTCTTTTAAATTTTTGGTGTGGGAAAATCTAGATAATTATATCCACAAAACATCAAACAACTGTAGTCATATGAGTTATTTCGCAACTCAGACTTATTGGCTAGGTTTTTTAAAAGAAATTTGAAATATTTTTTGACTATGTTAATTTAAAAATATTTTTTTTTAGATTGAAACTTTATCGTATTAATATATGTTATATTGTTACAGTTAGACGGGTTAAACACTCTGAGGAAGAACATCGCGGATAATGGCGGCATAAAGAAAGCTTATTACGCGTACAAAGAATGAGTTAAGCGAAACAAGCCAGAGCAAAGGTTACCGGGGTTGTTGTACAGTCTAGAACAGATGTTCTGGATAAGCGTGGCCAATTCTTGATGTACAAAGATCGACTAAAAGCACTGAAGCAACGATAGCGCATTCCTACAGCTCGGACGAATTTCGCATTTGTGGACCACTGTCGAACATGGAGATGTCCTCGCGCGACTTCAATTGCCCAGTCGGCTCCAGAATTAA